TGCATACTGTCTTGCAAGTCATTAATAAAATTCATAACGCTTTTCTTTGTGGTGTTTTATCATGGCCGTTTTCTTTTTCCCTCTCACCCCTCCTTCCCCTTCTCCTTTTCCTTCCCCCTCTTCCTTCCCCCCTCCTCCTCCTTCCACTCTTCCCAGTGCAAGTGTCAACACATCACAAGGGCCTCTCCTCTTGAGTTAATTTACTTTTTGTGCATATTACATTTTTAAAGTTGCACGCACTACGACCCCTCCCACCCCGGCATGCTCCTACACCCCCTCCCTCCCCCCTCCTTCTCCTCCTCCTCTTCTTCCTCTTCCACCACTTTTTCTTTCCTTTTTTTTTTTTTTTGAGAGCACAATTACAGCGGCAGATCAAATTAAATTCTTCTGCAAGCACAGCTCATTTGGAGTGTAAAACATTCCTCGGCAGTGTGCAGCCGAGTGTGCGGCGTGTCAGCGGCGCCTCGCAAGACGGGAGGAGAAGAAAACAGAATTGTGTGGCCATTGTGTCCCCCGTAATTAAATCCCCACAATCAGTCCATCTTAAATCAGTCACGCCGTAAATATGAAAAGGGGCCGGGATGAGCTTGAGTACTTACTCGGCCGTCAACACGGCGGGGTAATATATGTTATGTAAATGTGTCTGAGATTATAATGGCGAGGACTAACGCTGCAACCACCTAAATATGATGCTGAAAAAAAAAATGTGTGTGTGTCTAAACAGGTGAAAACACATACAAGTACGTTTATGAGACAAACAAGTGGTCAGACGTGAATAATATGAATAAATGCATGTGTGTGTGTGTTTGAGTGGGTAGTGTTTGTGGCTGAGTGTGTGTAGTCAGCTGTGTGTGTCAGTGTGCATGAACAAATCTAGTCCATAGGTGCATGTATGCGCTTCCTATAGCTTCCTGTGTGTTTGCTTACATGTTTGTACGGCAAAAATAGCCTCACACTATATTTGTCTTTGTGTGTGCAAGCACAAACAGGTGTGTGCGTGTGTGTGAGCAGAAGGCAGTGAGTGACATTAATGCACAGCTATCATGGGGAGCGTGTAAGTGTTGCTGAACCCCAGGAGGACACGTTTCAAACGCTGACAGCTCCGAGTCGCTCCGAACAAAACAAAATGCATTAGTGAGTCCGCCGAGTGAAACAAACACAAACCAAAATACATGTTTTTACATTTTTTTAACAAGCGGCGCTGAAATGGAGTCGGTGTTTATTAGAGGTGGTGAAAGAAAAGCACCAGTATCTCTTTAGCTTTTGTAGAAATCTGACTTCAGACTCAAAATAGCACTTTAATTAATCACGGCAGTCAACACCTCCAGCTTTGTTAGTTTGGACATTGATGATGGAAAAAACTGCAGAATATGAAACTGTATTATTACAGGTAGCCCACCCAAAAGTAATCGTGTTTAATTAGGGCTTTGAAGTTAATTTAAAGAAGATTTGAAGTGATTTTGTGACAAATGTCTCATTTTGAACATCACCAACATGCCAACATGCCAACATGCTAACATCCTAACAACCCAATAATGATAACAACATTAAAACATTTTTTTATGACATTCAGGCCCGGGTATTTATCATTACCTTGCCTTTTACTCTCTCACCTCACAGTGGGAGATTATCTGTGTCCTACAACTCTCACAACTTAAATCATTCTTTGGTTTCGGTGAGGTGGGCGGCACAAAATGCTGCACAAAGTCGTTGTGAGTGGATTCTGCAGCGTGCGTAAACACATGCACCCTAACCAGGCAGTGTCAGGGTAAATTCAGGGAAGGTTAGTCCAATCTCTGTCCACTTACAATAAATTAATTACAACCTGGTATAATCAGACATCTTAAATGTTAAGAAATGGAAATCAAAAAAGCGTGTCAGAAAAGGGAGGGGTGATGTTTTTGGATGAAAACAAAATGCAATATTTGTAAAAATCCCTAACAGCAGCATGAAAATTACTAGACTCTTTTATAATAATGCACATAATATTTATTATCAATACGGACATCCCTGTTTGGGTCGCGGGGGACTGGAGCAGATCCCAGCTGTCACTGGGCGAGAGGCAGGGCCACCCTGGATTGGTCACCAGTCACTCAGAGGACATATAGAGACAGACAACCAGCCACACTCACATTCACACACATGCAAACTCCTCACAGAAAGGCTTCTGTCCTTCACGGATTTGAACTAGGAACCTTCTCGCTGTGAGGCAACAGCGCTAACTACTGCACCACCATGCAGCTTATGCACATGATGATTCTGCTTCAAATGAGGTCCAGTTTGTAAAACAAAGTGATACCTGAGTGGATATGATTCAGCACAGGACAGCAGTGTAGTAAATCTTTCCCTATGAGGTTAAAAGTTTCTGTTGGTTTCAGTGTTTCTCAGAGGTGGTCATTAAAGTTTCTGGTCATTTTGGAAGACTCGTTTTCTGCTGCTGGTCGACTTTATCATCTTCCACTGAGAGGTGTTATTAAGCCTTTTGAATCATTTGAAAAACAGAAAGAAAGTGAGCGTTAGTTTGTTAAAAGTTTGCCTCCTTATGGTGACCTCCTGTGAACACGCTCGTGACTAATATCGGAGAAGAGGCTTTGACAAGATTTGGCCCCAATTAAGCCTCTGTGCAAAAAAAAATCAGCAGATGGAGGGGGGCAAAACTTTCACAGTCCACTTTGGCTCAGAGGTTTTCTCTCTCATTGCCCCAGTCAAGAGAAATTTGGATGAGATGGCAAACTGTGCGCCTAATTAGCTGAGGAACTCTTCGAAAATATCTCTGCGTCCATCGCTCACACTGAAACACAGGAGAGAGTCCACATAATATTTATCATTATTTTTTTTAACTGAAATGTGAGACACAGAACATGTTTTCCTTTTTAAATGCATCCTCTCGATGGCACAACACGGAGCCTTTCAGTCTGACATACTGTAGAAGTATACTGGACATGGTTTGACTTAAAGTTTTATTTTCAGCTCATTTATCTACAACAACCTGCAGGACTATGTATCAGATAGATATACATATTCAAATGACTCACAGCAGTAAAGCTCATCAAATGTCAAATAATGTAGAACCATATTAAACAGATTTTTTATAAAATACTTCAACAAGATTTGCTTTATCTAGAAACATGATTCAAGATATAATCTCACAAATGACTTAAATCAAAGCCCAGAGGATCCATTGACCGTAGTTTCCTAAAAACTGAGCAAAGTTAAACTGTCAAATAACCTTTGACCCTGCACTACCATTCATTTTAAACCGCTACTTTTAATGTTTGTGCACAAACCTTTCACTGTATCAGAACATCCTGTCTCAGCCACAGAGATACCAGTCATACCAGCTCCTCCTCTTCCTCTTTGTAGTTCTTAGAGGTCATTCATGGAGCAGTTGGACATGGGAGAAGTCTGCCCCATCCAGTCTGTGACTTTTATATCATTTCCTGCTCTGCTTCCTGCCCACCTCGGCTGCCCAAAAGGGAGGGAAAAAATCCCCATAATGGGTCTTTTCCACAGGGCAACAGGGGTAAACCAAGAGGGAGCGTTTAAAAGTTCTTTAAGTGACGTTTCTGACAGTATTTCTATCCTGCAGGTGCATGAGTAGTTTCTCTGTCAATCCTAAAATAGTTGCCTTTCATCCTTCCTACCTTTTAAATCAGCTGGTATTGATGTGGAAAACACCCCCTAACACCCACCCGGGGCCCTCTGTGTCATCTGCCCTCCTTCCCGCTAAATATAACCTGCAAGCAGGAAGGCGGTGGCAGCAGCGGTCCTCAGAAGCACTTTTCATACACAATCAGGGGGGTGTTAAGGCGGTATTCGCTCACCTGATAAAATTGTCTCCCTGTGAGCCAAAGGAAGATAAAATTATTTTGAGTGGGAGCACAATGGCGGAGGTGCTTATGTTAATCCTGATACTTCTTTAAGAAAAAAAAAAAAAAAGGAGCGGGAAATAAGATAAGCTCCTGCCTCAAGGTAAAGAGCGAGGAGGGGGGCTCGGATACCTCCACCTCCATGCGAAACAACTCCACCTTCAGCCAATTCCTCCTTCACTGAATCCTCATCCAAGTTTGTGTCACAGCATTTATTTGCATAATTCACACCCACTCCCTGCACTCCTTCCCCCCACCCCCCTTAACCAGGCAAACAGTTAGCTTCCCCTGTCCCTGCAGGAACACAGAACACATATTGGACCAGATGAAGGAGGCGGGCTTAGCTCAGTGGGTGGAGCTTAAGTAAAACATGACTCTAGACTGAATCACAGTGATGTGAGAATGAGGGAGGGAGCAAAATTCAGACAGATCGATTATCTGCGACGTGTAAACTGAGGGACAGAGGTTGCAAATTAGCCACAGCTAGAAACTTGGATGCATGGCTTCTACTTTTTATTTAATATAGGAAGCAATGTTCACCGCTTGTGTCCCTGTTGAATAAACTCATTAAATAAATAAAAATAAAGACATAGCTTTTGTGAAGAAGTAGTTGTAGGTTTTTTCATGTAGGCTGTGTGTGTGTGTGTGTGTGTGTGTGTGTGTGTGTATAAAGATCAAATGTCTTGAAATTCCACAGTCCAAAGAAATTCACTTTTCATGAATAGATGATAAATGGTATTTCCTGTAAAGCGCTATCATATTCATACTGGGTTAAAAAGTAAGCATTAACTCGTTCATGCTGGATAATCAGGGGAATAACTGAGCGTGGATGGCGTCTGCATCATTTTTTAAGGTCAAGGCCATTTTTGTTTCATTTTTAAACATGAATGAAACACTTTGATTACCCCTCTCTCTTCTGAATATCACCCAGGGAAGAACCACCTGGCTCCCACTGAGACTAACATGCTTATAGAAGGACCTGAAAGATGTTGACATTTGTCTAATCCTCACCTTGTTTGTGAGCCTTTATTCTGAAAAGGTTATGTAACAGTCGGGGGATAATTTGTTTAGTGCTTTGAGACTCCTGACGCCCGTGTTGTTTTGTTTCCTTCCTTTGCTGTCATGTTTTAGGAAACCCAGGAGAGCCTCTCCCCAGGGATCCACGGTGACTAACTGCGGCGGTGGCAGCAGCCCGGCAGGTATTTCACCACACAAAGACTGTTTGTTTTGTTTCACATGGACTATTTTTATCCGTCTTTCTTCTTTTTATTGCATCTCTTTCAGTCTGTATTCCTGTCTCCCTTTTGTCTTAGTTCCTCCTCCTCTCTGTCTCCTCTCTTCTTCTGCTCTTTTAATAAGACGTTTTGAGGGGGGGGGGATTTTATTATTATTTTGTTTTTAGCTCCGCCAATGCTCTTCTAACTAGCATAATTAAACATGCTTGTTAACAATGGCAGCTAATGAGGAATACAACAGGCTGAACAATAGGAGCTGATTAGACAAAGACAGGCTGATGGAGCTCACAGTCGGAGTTAGTCTACCTGCAGACACCTGTCCTCTGACGTCTTTAATCAGCACACGGAGAGAAGATGTTGTTTTAATTTTAGCTGCATCATCACATCCTTTGTCTCTACCAGGTGCTTTTTCTTCTGGTTTGATATAAACTATTGTACAACCACAGCCCTCTGCTGCAGCTCACTGAGCGCCGAACTGCAGAAATAATGGAACATTTTCTCTTTGAAAATATTTATATCAAATGTAACTCGGCGCATGGACAAACAGCATGAGAAGGAAAAACCAAAGAAACCACCATGACTGTGGGGAAATGGCCGTTCATCAGTTGAAATAGATGATACTTTTTTTCTGCAGATGTGACAACATCCTGTGTCCTCGTGCACAAGTACATCCAGTGCAGTTTGGCAGTAATAGTATGGACATGACTGTTCAGTTTGTCCACTAACTGATGATTATTATTATTATTATTATTGTATGAATCATTGTTATCATGTTTCTAATGTTTTCAATGGCCTGTGCAGATGGCATTGTTATAAACACTTGGTATGCGTTTTAGGAGGCCTGTGTCTTTTTCTTACAAATCTAGCCATGAAATCAGGCATCAGCTGTGAGTTATTTTAGAATTCATCCTCATACTTTAGATTATCTACATGTTGAATTTATTTATTCTTACATAAACGTCAAACTTCAGTATTTTGGTTATAATGGGAAATCTCGTGAAGCAGCTGAAGCTCCTCAATGTAAATTCAGTAGTTTAAACATTAAAAAGTCCAGTAAGCAGCAAAAAAAAGAAAACCCTGCTGCTTTAAGGGTTGAGGGTTTTTTTGTCCGAGAAAATACCGTGCATTTGAATCCAGGAGCTGCTGTATGAAAAAAAGGAAAAAACCATTTATATTCTATTATGCAGCAGTTAGCTCCCACTGTGTATGTTCCACTCACAAAGAAGTTAAGTGCACCGTGGAGGTTATTTACACCATGTTTATTCTCCCTCCCTGATACGGCGAGTGCAGACCTTTTGAGTGATACAATGGTACACTTACACGCAGCAACAGCAACCTGACACACCGTAAAGTACTTCTGAAAAGCCCTCAAAACACGGCGAGAGTCGGCGGCGAAATGAAGGAGGCTACAGATAAGAGTCGACTTGTAAAACATAATTATATTTCCGTCACCGGGGTGCGCCGGCTGTTGAAAGGAATGCATTTAACCTGTGATTCATGCATAGCAAGAAGTTGTGGAGAGGGGAAAAAAGAACAGCAGTTAAATTGTGGAGGTAAGAAGCCTTGAATAAAGTGTAGCTAAGGTCATCCCATCTTATGAGAATAATTTGATTCGCTGCTAGTCTCCTCTCCTGCAGGGAAAAGGATTATATCTTTCTTCTTTTTCTTCTCCCAGAGGATGGAGAAAAGGTCTGCTGCTGTTCAAATCCTGTGAGCACGTTTGGGCCTCAATATCTCCACAAAGTAAAAAAGAAAAAGGTTGGACTGTCGACTCTGCTTCGTGACACAACTCTTTAAAGCTTTTCCTGCTTATTTTTTTGTACAATACACTTGATTGAAAGTGGATTCATTCATTGAGATTTGCTCTGTTTCCTGTTGGCTCTTTGTTTAAATGAAGTCACAAAGGGTTCATTTGACTCGACAGGAAAGGACAGATGAGTATCAACACTTCTGTGTATCAAGGAATATCCGATAAATAAACGGAGTCCGTCATGCAGATTTGGATTGTATCTCCTCCTTACTGTACGTTTTGCTTACCTCTTCGGTTTCCGCTGATTTTGGTGCAGCAGTAAACACAAGTGTTGTTGTTCCGGTAGAGGAGGGAGGGGTTTCCCAGGCTCGGCCTGTTAATGTGCTGCAGAGTGGGAAATCACATCCGGTTCCTTTAGTGCATGCACGATATCAAAGCAGAACCACATTAATGCAATTTTCTGATTCTGACACTCATTTTGGATCTTAAATCCCTTAGCTGCTTCTTTAATGGGACTCAAAATGTCCATGACTTTACACTCAACATGTCAACAATTTTTGATAGGCAGGTTTTGAGGTTATTTACAGGTGAACCACCACAGCTGGGCGTGATTTCTGATCCCCCCCCCCCCCCTTCACAAACGTCTGAGCCCTTCCAATCAGGCAGATTTACAGCACTTGAACTGATACTCCATCTGGATCGCCTCCACTAAGCAGGTTGGCATCATTTGAATCAGGGGAGCTGCTACTGTCTGCCAATCTTCATACATGCTGAACTCTGTATTCAAATGTATTCAGTACTTATTTTATAACCTAAAATAGATGATAAGTAAAACAATGCGAGGCAGATTTATACAAACTGACTGAAGAAGTGAATATTTGGGACTTTTTGAAGCACATTTGAGGTCTGTCAGTCGATCCTGAAGAGATATTATTGGCACCGTTTGGTACAATATCTGTGAGCTAGATGTGAAAGATCAGAGCGATATCTCGCCTGCCGGGATTTTTCCAACCCTGCTGGGACTTCAAATCGAGGTTAACCTCTATAGCTGTCACCTTCATCTGTCCCCCCCACTCCTTCTCCTCCTCCTCCTTTCTGCTCTGAACTCTTCCTGCCAGAGAGTTTCTACTTAAACCTCCGAGTGCCACCCAAGTTGGCCAAAGTGCCCTCGCAGTCGGATCAAAGTCGTTTACTCTTTGGCTCAGCGGCGTGCGAAAGGTGATAACATTGCTCTGCGAGTCCTCCGGCGCGTCGCTCTGTGGTTGTGGGCAGCGCCGTTCGCCCTGCACCAGTGTCCCTTCCCCGGCCCGCTAAGCCTGAGCGCTGCGTTTCCTTTTCTCCAAATTGTAATTAAAAGGGAATAATTATTTCTCTGCGGTGGCAGTCCAAACAAACAGACTGACAGCTCTCTCCGTTCAGCAGAGCCCCAGAGTTGATATCTCCCTGACGGCTGCTTTTTTTTTTTCAGCGGCTTTCTGAAGCTGCCACTTCTTGGTGTTATTATCTTTGTCTCCAGCCCTGGCCCTGCGTGCCGTTGCTGGCGCCGTTGGCAGTGGCCTTGCCCCCGCCATCCCTCTGTTCCACGCTCAACTTTTCTCTCGCCACATGAAAGTGGGCGCCCGCCGAGAGACCCGACCACGTGGCCTGGACCGTACCTTTCACTCCCAAACTTTCCTGACCTAATTAGCGTCAAATTAAATCGGACAGGATGCATTCATTATTAATTCTCTGGGCTGGGGGGTTGGGGTCTTGAAATAGACATTGGACACAGAGAGAGAGGTTGAATCAGAGGCTCTCTGGCTCGCTGTCTTGGACTTAATTTGAATGCAGTGCACAGTGTTAGCAAAGAAACACAATGCAAGTTAATCAACGCACTTTGCATGCGGCTATGTTCCTCTTCCTCTGTCTGTCTCTGCAGCTTTGGATGTGCAGCCTGCCAAAAAAAGTCTCTCTCATCTCCACGTGAAGCTGCGTGTTCTGCTTCATGTCCGTCCTCTTTTTCTGCTGTTCTCCGCGGCATCTTTCAACAGCAAGGCCACCTTTCTGTAAGTCATCCAGAAAATAACAAACAAACAAGTTTAAGATTTGAATGCAGAATTTTAAACCTTTAAAAGAGAACGAGTACCTCATGTCTCCTCGACTAGAGGTGGTGTTTAAAAATAGAGGGGGATGCACTTTACCTGAATCAGGTAATCCAAACATGACTCTTAATATGTGACAGTGTTTTTTTGTATCTGCCAGATGTGGAGATGGGTAACAGCAATATCAACTCAAAGATGGGGAGGGAAGTTTTTGACTCAATGAAATGAATAGTCTTATTTCAGGCCCGCCAAAGCCACAGGTCATGGTATTTTTTGTTCTATAGAAATGAATTCTCTGAATTTATCCAAATACAGCAAAAGACGGTCCTGTAATAGCCATACTACCCAAGAGTTAACTCGATTTGCTGCTCTAAAATGTCAAACTTCTGATTATCTAGCTAGAAATAAGATTCCCTGGAGGAGTTTGATATTGAGAATCTACGATGACAAACATTTGAAACATTTGCAAATATACTCTGAAATGAATGAACCTGAAACACAGTGTTCTTTAATGTTATTTGAAATCTGTTGAGCTGGTCTTGTTTTATTTATTATTATCTCAGCTTGATTAAACCCATGTTAGATCCATTTCCATCCTCTTGACAAAGAAGATTGGCCAAGAACAGCAGCAACACTTAGCTTTGACAACTAGGCAAACACATAAAGTGGATTAAAGACATGAACATGAACATGAACATGCCTGGATTGGATAGGTCATTAAATATTTTTTTTTTACCTCTGCAAACCTGGTCGAGGTGTGTTGGATTTTGAGTCTTTGGCTCAAGATGTCCTGGATGTCAAGATCATTTCATCTACACAGAGGTTTAAGTGAATTTGATCGACTTTTTTCAGTACTTTTTTAACCCTGATTATAAAAGCATCTGTTCAGTCAAACTGAAGCACTGAAAATCTTTAGTGATATTGCACTTCTGCAGAAATCACTGGTAGGTGAATCTGTGGATCACTCGTCTTCTCTTTCTGCCCTCTTTATGAGAACAGAGGCGTGTTGAGGCCTTTGAGTCCCGCTCTGGATTTTGACAGCTCTGCAGACTCTGGCGGGCTGCAGGTCGTCCGTCTGTAGATCAGTGGTGGTCTTGTGAAAACGCCGCCAGCACTCGCCTCCTGTGGTCGAG